CTGGAACAGACACGGTATGATAGGTTAGCGCTGCGTTCCTGTATTTACTCTCGGTCAACACTCGATTAAAGTTATAGTTTAGCAAAAAAAATCAAATGTCCAGCTGATCAGCCGAAATATTTGCCTTCCGAAGTTTGTTTCTTTGGAGCTATGAGGCTAACAGTGTCAACAATTAATGGAAGACTACTAGCATCAGTTAGCTTTGTGCTAACTGCATGCCTAAACCATCGCAGACTTCCCTCAGTCCATGTCGAATTGGACACTGGATGACAACGTTATGTGTAAACATGAGGACAAATACATTAGCATAGCTAAAAACATCAGTAGCAGACATATTTGAGCCTAAAGGAGGAAATGATGCACATTTTTGTACTGTTTCCAACTATTTCTTCCACAAATTCATCCACGCCTTCACTGTAAAAGCCTATCTCTGATAAAAAGCGCTCAAATCGTGGCACAAACACTGCACAGAAGGAGAGGGAAGAAAAAACCATGCTCATGATTCAACCTGAAAGCAGCAGCCCTTCGCTAAGCAGACAGGTTTTTTCTTTTAATTCGATAACAAGCACTTTTGTTCTTTATCAGGTGAACGGAACCACAAAAAAACAAGCCTCGGCGCAGCGAAGACATGGTGCTTTACATTTACAGTGTTTTGCATTTCTGTACTATTTTTAAAAAACACAGTCTGGAAGATTTATGTTTTCCTGAAAGCCGCAGTTGAACTCTGGCTACAACACGTTTAACCTCCTTGAGAGGAGTTCGTCATATTCTTCATAACTTTCATATTTCATAAGCTACATTCTAAAGGTGGGGGTCGTGTGAGAGCTGTAACTGTCTTCTTTCCAGTCAAATAGATGGGTGATGTAATTTTAAACCCTTATAATAAAAGAAGCTGAACTCACTTTTTTTTTCGTCTACTGAAAGTCGACCCATTTTTCCACAAATCTGGGCTATAAACTATAAACAGATGGCGTCTCTTCAGTGATCTGCTCTGTAAAAATTATATTTATAAAATAACACAAAGAGCGTCTAAGATTTTTGCCTTTCAGCAGTAAATTATAAGCATATAGCAATATGTGTATCATAAAACATGTTCTGTTAATTTGTGGAGAGCTTTTACAAAAAATAAATTAATAAATAAAATAAAAATGTACATTTATTTCATGCAGTTACTGAATAATTTGCCTTGCGATTTGGTCATGTAAATTCAGGTGGACAAACCAAAATATACCCTGGAGAATAAGAGGTTAAAGGAACAGCCGGATAAAATATCGAACCCACATAGCGTTCCCGGTTTACTTAACCCGGCCATGGCGTCCAAACTTTGCTTCTTTAGTTTTGCATTGGAGCTATGAGGCTAATGTAGCTAACGAGGAATAGAAGCTAATTAACAATTAGCACTGTGCACAATGCAAACCTAAAATTATGCAAATGATATGAATTATGAAAACAACCTTCGTCCAACAAAATGCAGTAACACCGTAAGAGTCCAGCTCCAAGTGACGCTGGTTCATTTAGGTGGGCGCAAACATTCACAGTTTAGCCAACAGCCAGGTCAGAATAAGGTCACCAAGTTGACCACTAAGTTTACCAGAATGTAGACCAGCATGGTTAGTTGACGCTTTGATGGCTCTATTTATTTTAAGAGCTATCAGAAGTAGCATTACATGCTAACTATGCAGCTAACAGCATTAGCTTATACGCTCTTTCGCTTCCATCTCTTCATTCGTAAAACAACAGTCAGAATTATCACCGTCTACAGAGCTCGCTGAGGTAACAATAAATGATAACTATGCGTGGAAATCATCACAAAACTGTCTCAAACTGTGTCAAACTGGTTCATAATCTCATACAGACCGTCTCATCCTGGATGACACACTGTAAACAATGAATTTTGCTAAATTACAAATAAAATTCACACTTCGTAATGTGTGCTGCAACCGATTTTAGCTATGCTAACATACTTTTGTTCATTTTTAAAGATAACAATAAGCCTTGGGGCGATAAAGGATATTATCAAACATTGCAATAATTCCAACCAGTGATGATATGAAGTAAATTAGCGTTTTATTTGTTATTATGTACCCTTGCCATGTGACTTTTTCTTTTTTTGGCATTCTTTGTATTTAACCATTGACTTTGTACATGCATTCTAATCTATGGTAGGTTAAAATTTTAGAATTAAGTTATAACAGAAAAGACGGCATTTAAGTACAGACCACGCAAACATAACTAATTAACTACAAATATACGTTTTTAAAACGTCGCTTGTAAAGATTAGAATGTAGCGTTTCAGTCTGATAAAGAATGCTGGGTATATGCAAATGAAACACTCCGCTACATGTGACCGTCTTCCTATACGGTGAAAAATGGATGAGCTTGTACAGAAGAAGGGTGTTACCGCGCCCGTTTGGCAATATTTCGGTTTACATTCTGTCTATGCAGAAAACTGATCATCATCAAAGGTGGCAGTACAGACCTTGAATCCACAGTAAGAGCTGCCAAGCCGTAAATACTTCAGCAGACAGCGGCGCCTGAGCTGTATCATACTGTTAATTGTGTATGAAACAATCTAGGTTGTTAAAGACTATAATCATAATAATATTAAGAATAATTATTATTATCTCTTCTAACATAACTGTGTTTTCCAGGATTAAGATTCATTGCTATAATTCTCCTTTGCTGTTCCACTGAGTTGCAGCAGTTCACTTACACAGGCTGGAATAAAATGATCACGTGACTGAAAGGCCCGCTCACTCGGGTTTTCTTCGTCAATTTATTTTTAACACGGCAATATCGTTTATCGCGATAATTCTGGAGGCGATAATCGTTTGTCTAAATTTACATTATCGCCCAAGCCTAATAACAGTAAGTCCTACAGTGCCAGAAACCACACGAGCAAGTCTATTTGAGATTACTGAGCTGCTCAACACAGTTTAAGGCGAGTGCAGTTAGCTTTAGCATTAGCTTCCATTACTTGTACTTGTTCCATTACATTAGTCTCGTAGCTCCGGTGCGAAACTAAAGAAGCAAACTTCAGACACTGAACACGTCTCAGCTGATGAGCTACATCTGTGTTGAGGGTGAAAACTGTAAATTTGCCAAAAGTTCCGCCAAACTGTTCCTTTAAAGGGCTCGTTTAATTCTTTAAGCTGAAGGCCGTGTGGGGCGGACGATCCTCAGCTGTGTCAACAGGGCCTATTCAAACCTCCTGCTCTCTCTGTCTCACAGCAATCCAGGAATGGGGAGGGGCGAAGAGACCGGCCAAAAGCAAACAGTAACCTGGCACACTGGTGGAATACATACTGGAGACGGGCGAGAGACAGAGGGAAAGAGACAGAGAGAGAGAGAAAAGGGAGTGGGATGGACTTTGAGCTGCCTTTGTACTCGCCCCTTCAAAGCAAACTGTGGTATAACTTTAACAGGACGGTTCAGTAAAACAAATTATATTATCTTATTGTATTTGCAGGTAATTAAGACTGACCTGGCCTGAACTGCCTAAAGGTACCACTATCTGTAATAACCTGGTGATCTCACTGCCACAGAGCAGGGCGTGGGTGCTATTGAATAAGAGCAGACGGAGCCGGACGGAGGCACCCCCCAGTCAAAGTGTACAGGGACCTGGCCACGACTGACAGTCTAGAACACTTCCGCCTGCCACCCACCTACCTACCCCCCGGTATTCCCAACCTAATGCAGTGGAAGCCGCCTGGAAGACCCCCTTCACTGAGAATTCAGGACCAATTCTACAACTGGAAGGGTGAACAAAAGGTTCTAGAAATTGGCTGAAATTTCCTAATTTCACAGCTGAACTAAATGTTTCTAGGGATTTGTCTAGTAGTCGGGCCATTCTGTGCCATTTAGGGATTCAGGAATTCTAGAACTGGAAGCGTCTTGCAATTCCAATTCTCTTCAAATTTCTTTTCAAATTTCAAAAGTGAACGGAGAATTCTAGAACATTTGCCATTCAAGGGTTAAGACATTCCTGAACTAGGATAAACTGAGGATTCAGAGATTCTAGAACTTCCAAGGATCAATGGAGGGTTCTAGAACTAGGGTGGTAGCTCAGAATTCTAGAACTTTGCCTAGGAAAGTCCAGGATAGCTGAGGGCTAGCCGATTAGCTTCAGGTGCTAATATGAGAGGAGAGAAAATGCCAGAACTTTGCCTAGGAAAGTCCAGGATTGTGTCCCAAATGGAATCCCAGCTCCCAGTATATTCGAATTACTGTTTACAGAACAAAAGTAAGTGACCAAGCGACCTGATGAGGCTATCAAGGGACTAGATTTACTGGACCACTATGAGTGTCTAACCAAACAGTTAATGAAATGTTATATTACATTATATTATATTATATATATAATAACAGCATATTATATTTCAACAGTTAAAAACACTAAAATTGAGAATGCACTTTAAACAAACAATACTGTGCTGATGTCACACTCATACATTGACATATTTAGCGCTGGTGTTAATCCATTTGTGCCTATCTTGCATTAAATGCTTTGTTGGCTTACAGTGCATTGTGAGATACTCTAGACCAGTTAGTGCTGATGTTGCCCATCTACATTTGTTGCTCTGTGGGGTGTCATTAGCACTAATGCTGCAGTGCCCTGGGTAATTTCGACATTGGGAAACCCCAACAAACTTGCTGAATCCCCATCTAGTTTACAAAATACTACACAGGAGGTTGATTTGAGACACACCTCAGGTGTTTTCTGACCTATACCATGGAAAGAGTCTAGCTGTATCACTGTATATCACGTTTGGGAGCTATAACACTCTTGCTTTTGTTCCGGAACAATCCAGCTTTTGCCCCGGCTCCTGTTCGAATGTATTCCTGACTCTTTTGTGCTCCTGAGCTCCGTAACTCAATGACCTGCTCCGCAGCTCGCTAACCGCAAGACTTGATTTCACCTCGGGGGAAGGAAAAAGATAGACAGAGAGGGAGTGAACGAGAGAAAAAAACACGCCACTGTCTTCTCGTTTTCACGAGCT